GGGGAACGGAACAGGCAGATTGACTGAAATACAGTGCTGAGGGGAGCAGCGGGGAGACAGGAGAGGTCTGCTACACCATGTGGGTCAGCTCCCCGGCTGAGCATGGAACTCAGGGTGCAGAGGCTCTGGACAGCTTCACAGGTTGTGTCCTAACCCCTTGCGCCACCAGGGAGGCCCTGAAGTGCTTTTTGTGTTTGTGTAATATTGAGTTTGTTGAATTTCTGAGTTTGTAATTTTCATCAAACTTGGAAAATTTACCATCACTGTTTTTTCAAATTGTGTATATTTGGTATTTTTTTCTCTCTGTCCTTCATTTTGATCAGTTTCTATTGCTGTGTCTTCCAGTGCACGCACTTACTTTTGGTGTGCAGTATGGAACCTGCTGTTATTCCCATTCAGTGAAATTTTTTGTCTCTACGAATATTTTTATTTCTCGAAGTTCTTTCTTTTTATGCTTTTCTTTTCTCTCCTTACTATGATCATGAATTCCTTTAAGTTTTTGAATAAAGTTGTAGGACTTGTTTTAACGTTCTTATCTGCTCATCATTTCTTCTAATTTTTCTTCTTCTGGGCCACACTTTCCTACTTCTTGACATATGTTGAGAATTTTGATTGGATGCTGTGAATTTTACATTGTTGAGGGTGTGGATTTTGTGATCTGTCTTTATTTTTTATTTTTTATTTTTTTTTAATAGAGGCATGTTTTATTTATTTATTTGTTTGTTTGTTTGTTTTGTTTATACATGCACTGGGTACAGTCAGAAGCGCGGGAGGGTGAGAGAATTCACCAGAGCCAGAGCGGGGAGCAGAGCAGGCAGAAGGACCGAAGTACACTGCTGAGGGGAGCAGCGGGCGGCAGGAGAGGTCTGCGCGCCATGTGGGACCCTCCTCCGGTGGCCGGGGAGCAGCCGGGGATCAAACCGTCGCTGCAGAGGCCGAGGGCAGCTTCGCAACCCAGCGCTCAACCACTGCGCCACCGGGGAGGCCCTGTGATCTGTCTTTAAAGAGTATTGAGCTATAGCCTGGTGGGTTGTTAAGCTACTTTTTTTTTTTTTTAAAAAAAGATTTATTCATACAAGAACCGGGATACAGGCTAGATATGTGGGAGGGTGAGAGGATTCACCAGAGACAGAGCAGGAAACAGAACAGGCAGACTGATGAAAAACATTGCTGAGGGGAGCAGAGGGCGAGACAGGAGGGGTCTGCTGCGCCATGTGGGATTCTTTCTGGCTGGCCAGGATTGAACCAATGTTGCAGAGGCCGTGGACAGCTTCACAGTGTGGTGCTCAACTGCCTGTGCCACCAGGAAGGCCCCTTAAGCTACTTTTGATTCATTTTGATTCTTTCAGTCCTGTTTTCAGACTTTGTTAGGATAGATGTAGGGTGGCCTTTACTCTGCAATAAACTGTCAAAGGGGGGGAGTCTGTCCCCCCCAGCACAGCTAGGTGGAATGGCCTACATTCTCCAAGGGTCCTGTTGTTGCAGGACATTTGGCCTCTCAGGCTTCTAAATGCCAGTGAGATTCCCTGGCCTGGGTAACAGCCAGAAACACCTCCCAGTGCCCCCGGGGGGGTGGGGGGTGGTCCTGGCCAGCGTTGAGAGCCACTGGGCCACAGTTTGGCTCTGTGGTTAGGCCAGGTTTGTGTTAGGGTGAAGGTGGAATGTCCCAGGGAAAGACACTGGTCGGTCTTCTGCCTGCTTCATTTGGGCTCATGTTTTAATTAAAGAAATTAATTAAATACTTGTGGAGTGCCAGCGATATCCCAGGTGCTGAAGACTGGTCTTCAGTAGGATGGTAAAATACCTTCCAGGAGCTTAACATCTAGTGGGGAGAGAGAGGCAATGAGCTATTAACCCGGGAGCGAATGTCCCTCAGAGCGAATGTTTATCAGAAATAAACATGGAGAGGAGTGAGGACGAAGGTGATTTTGGTCATCAAGAAACAGTTTTCTAAGCAGGAAATGGGGGACGGTTCATTTTAGACTGCAGATATTTCAGCATGTGCTACAGAATCATCTAGAATGTAATCAGTGTTGGGCAATTCCTGACTTGCGCATGAGGTCTGGCGCACTGATGAGGGCTGGCTGACCCCAGACTGCTCGGTGAGCGGGTCACCGTGTGAGAAACGCCTGCTGCTGCTTAGCAGGCCTGAGGTGGAGCTCGGTGCTCTCACTTGGGTGTGCTGTGGCCCAGCAGGCTCTGGGAAGCCAAGACTTAAAGACTTTGGAGAGTCTGGCAGTTTAAATATTCCTTGTAGGGGTGCGTACACGCAGGTGTGCTTCTTACACGCTTGGGCTATGCAGAAGGAACCAGCGCTAGTGGCTGGTCCCCCCAGCAACAGGGGGCTGAGTGTTGGGATGACAGAGAAGATTCCTTTTTATTTTTAATTAAATTTTTTTTTTCAAGTAGAGTACACTGATATGGCTCTAAGTTTAAAAAGGCACCACAGGGCATATGATGGAGGAGCTGTCTTTGGCACTTTTTACTGTTTAAAGTTTTCCCTCTGGCAAATATTAGCTATTCAAGAGATGAACTAATTACAAGGGGAGTTCCTTGGTGAGGATGATTCACAGTGATTAGTTGTATTTCAGAAAGCAAGTTTGGGGTTAAGTCAGGAGACTTCCTGAATGTTAGAGCTGTTTGCATTCGTTTGTTTCATCTAATAAAAACACCCCACGTTATTATTTGTGGGGTACCATTTTGGTGCTTAATGAAATGTGGTCCGGTTCAGATCCTGAGGGAGCCAGCTGCCGGTTGAGCCAACGTGGGCAAGTTTGGAGCCCCTCTTGCCTCAGTTTACTCGCAAGAGCTAAAGGACAAAATAAATGCGCTTAGTATTTACCGAAAAGAGTGAAGGGAGTCCTCAGGAGGACAGTGCACCGACAGGCCATCGGGGTGACTTAGAACCAAAGCTCCTCTCTTTGCTGCCCCTTCTTTCTTTCATTCAGCAAGTGGCTGTGGAAGGCCTGCTCTGTGTGGGCGCTGCAGCAAGCACGTATCTGCTCCTGTGGGGTTTCTAACTGGGGCTTACCTCAGGCAGATACAGCACACAAGTAAAATTGCAGTCCTGCTCAGGCTTGAAGGAGAGCGGTGCGGTGCTAGTGTCTGACGGCTGTTGTGGGTGGTGGGTGGCGGAGGGATGCTCCCCTGAGGAAGGGGCTTAGCTGAGATCTGATGGGAGCTGCACATGGAAGTGCAGAGTCCTGTTGTCAGAGGAAGCAAAGGCAAGCGTGGCAGTGGGGGAGTAGCTGGGGAATGTGGTGCCACAGAACACTGAGATGTAGTCAGAGGAGAGGCAAGGTCTTGCAGGCCACGCCTGGGGATGTTTTTCTCTTTTAGGATTCTTATTGTTGTTTTCTGGGGTGGGGTAGGTGGGGGCTGAGATGATCGGATTACCATTTTGAAATGATAGTCTGCTTGCAGTGAGGAAAAGGAACTGGAAGAGTGCCAGTGCGGATGCGGGAGTGCCAGCGTGGATGCGGGAGCACCGACTGGAAGGCTATTGCAGTGGTCCAGGCAGGAGATTGTGAACACTTGGTCTCAAGTGGTGGCAACAGAGATGGGGAGAAGTGGGCGGTGGGCTGCCGCTGTGGCTCTTCGGGAGAGGATGTTGGCAGGACTTGATAGTGAGTTAGCTCTGGCGCATGATGGAGAAGGAGCTTTGGATTCTAGTTTGCATATTTTGGTGGCAGGTTGTGCTGGCCACTCTGGCAGGAGGCCTGCACTGTGGCCGAGGGAGAGGGTTATGACTCTGCCGCGCGACTTGTTCGGTCCAGTGGAGGCAGGAGGGCTGTGGGACGTAGAACTCAGAGAGGTCTGGGCTGGAGATCTGAGCGCATGAGCTGCTTGATGCCTGGAGCTCGGGAGGACAGGTGGTGGGGGAGTGAGGGTGGGGGACCCTACGCAGATTACCCCGAGACTTTCCAGTGATTTTCATGCTGGCTGACCTTGTCCCAGTACAAGAAGAGGCTCTTGAGACGGCACCCAGAGTGACAAGGTAGAGTCCTTCTCGCAGAGTCCTTGCCACTGTGGTCTTGCCCAGTTCTGTGGTGGCCAGTGGGTGTGAGGAAGTCTTTGGGCAGCCTCAGTGGACCGGACCGGTTTCTTGGCCACCTCCGTTCTTTTTGGTCGGAGGCCGGGCACTTGCTGCCGGGACTGGCTGGAAGGAGAGTGGAGTCTGGTCCTGGATCCACAGACTAGCTGCACTTGTCTGGATATTATCTGTAGATAATTGGAAATTGACTTGAATGTCAGTGAACTGATCATAACTCTCACTCCTGGTTTCATTCTTCTGGAGATTTGTAAATTTCTTCTGAGTCTGCCTGTCTCTGTGTCTCTTCCCTTCTCCGAGTTTTGTCAGATAACCCACAGCTGAAGGCCAGTGTGAGCAGGAGGGGAGGTCGCGGTTGGGGAGCAGAGCTGGGGGTGTGGTGCCATGGGTGCCACGCTGCCTGTCGTCCTGTCACTTCCCACAGGGGCTTAAGCCTGGCTCTCTTATTGCCGGGACTGGTCGCCAAGGTGACTGGTGACAGAGGAGCCCTTCTCTTTCACCCACTTCCTGGCCCCAAATAGATGCCTGGAGAATCCCGAGTGTGGGTGCTGGGGGCCCCCTTGTGGCTGCATCTGTGTCTCCACTCTGGCTCTGCTCTCCTTGTTGGAAAGGCAGCATCTCCCCCACTTTGTCAAGCCTCTCCTCTGGACCCCGGCGCCTGTCGTGGGGGTTTTGTGATGGTCCGCAGCCCCTGCCGCTCGGCTGCGCAGGTGGGGCCTGCTCCAGCTGCCTCCTCGAGGAGTTCTGACCCGGAACCCAGAGTCTTTTCCTGGCCACTGCTGAGCTCAGCCTTCGCTGCCTCTTCCAGGTGGCCCGCATGGACCCGCCGCGCGGTGAACAGCGAGAAGCACGTGAGGGGTGTTTGGGGGTGGCGCCGAGGAGACGGCTTGGCGCCTGCTGTCCAGTGGGTGGCGCTGTGATCTTACTTTTGCTTCTGTTTCTCCTGCAGCCAAGCTCTGCTCCAGGAAGTGACAATGTGGTGCCTCGAGAGCCGCTGGTAAGTACCCAAGATCTATGGTGGCATTTTCTAGTAATCGAAATGCTCTGTGAGTGTAAGAAACCTGGTGGCCCTGTCGTTTCACGTCAGTTACGTCCCTTTAAAAGTCGGTGCTGTGCGGAGCCTGAGCTCCCCGGTGACTTCAGGCTGCTCTTCCAGCATGTGGGGGATTAGTGAGCTCTCTGCTGAGTAAAGCCTGGTCTTTTCTGGAACTGAAAGATCCACCCCATTTAGTTTGTTCTTGATTAATAGTAATTAGTCAGAGGCCTGAAGCCTTTGCAGGCTGAGCTGGAGGGAGGAGGTTGCTGGGCCTGACCAACTTGCTTGTCCGTTGTCTGCCTAGCCATCCTCTGCCCCTGGGGGAGCGCGCCTCAGGTGGCCTTTGAAGAGCAGGTGGAGGAGGGGGTTCTGTTTTCGTCAGGTCCATAAAGGAGGTTTGGCCTGTGCCACCAGTGGCGCCTACTGGTCCTGCGGTGGGGCAGAGGCCAGTGCAGGCCTGGAGGCAGTCTTCTCCACACGGGCTTCTGCTCTGAGGGCTGAGCTGGGCTCCCTGGCCTCCCGCCTCGTTTCCTCTGGGCTGCATTTCAGGGCCTGCTGTAAGGGCTGTTTGTTGGCTGGGTCGAAGGGCCTGTCTGCGTGCATCAGATACATTTTGTGGAGGGACCAGCTCTCAGCAGAACTTCCAGGCTCGTTCTTCCTTGGGGTGCCACAGCAGGCCGAGGGGTGCACTGCCGGGCTTGGGTGTCAGGGGTCCATAGTTTCACCTGTCTGCCTTCCTTTCCTCCTGGAAGTAGTGGAGGAGGTGACGTGAGAGCCTCAGCTGGTATGAGCAAGTTCAGGTTCTAGCCTTCCCAAAGCAGAGGTTTGCTGGACTTGGCTGAGCTGTAGAAAGATGGGGCGCTCCTAGCCTGGCTGGCCCGTTTCGGGGGCTGTGCTGTGCTGTTATTCACGTCCCCTGCCAGGACCACCTACTGCTCATCCCCACCACTCCCCACTGGGACTTCATTTCTCTCTCTCGGTCTTGCCTGGGCTCTTCCTTAAGCTCATAGCGGCGTGAGCACTGCAGGAGGCATCGCCTTTCCAGTCCCTTCCATGGGGAGCGCGAGTGTTTCCCGGGGAATGCCCCCACGCCCCTCAGGCTGGGGTTGGCGCTGGTTTTGGACTAAACTCCTTTATTTCCTCAGTCTCTTTTTAAATGTCGGTTTACTCATTCCGAGATTCGCTCCCAGGACTCGATCTGGTCAACTCTCAGGGGTCCCCTGAGCAGTGAGCCTGGCGGTTGCAGCCTGGCTGATTTCTGGGTGTCTGGAGCCCTGCAGACCCCTTGCTGCTGTTTCTGGACACTGCTCGTTCCCTGCTGCCCTGCGCAGCTGCTTGTTGGTGGGTTGTATTTTTATTTCTTTCTTTTCTGGGAGGCCCTGAGCAGTCTTCAAACCCTAGTAGTCCAGAGTTCAGACTCCTTCTCTCCAGGCCAACTCTACAATTACCTTATATTTAATTAATATTTTTTCCCCTCTTTACGTACTTGCTGCATAATTGCTCAGAGGAAAGAAAACACACAGCAGCAATTTATATATATATAAAAAAACAATAATTAAAAAAAACCCCGAAATAAACTCCCATCTCATTTGGGCTGATCCTGTGAGTTGGGTAATTAGGGCCCTATTAAAAGGTAGACCCTCTCTCCTTCCCTTCTTTTTTTTTTTATTAATTTTTTTATATTAAACTCCCACAGTCTCTCAGTCATGGCCTTATTGCTTTTGGCCAACTATTTGCAGCAGCCTGATTAAATGAGGCACCAGCCGAGTCCTGTGGTCTTGTGTGAGCTACTTCGGCCTTTTGGGAGCGGCGGAGGGAGGGTGCCGGACAGAGGAGCCTGCCGGGGCCAGCGAGGGCTCGTGTGGCAAGAGGAGCTGTAGTGCAGGGGCGGCAGGCTGGGTGAGAGTCACGAGGTGCTGCAGACAGGGGCTGGTCCCCCCACCCGAGGAAAGCCTCATAGTGCTTAGCCCAAGTCACCCTTCCCCCGGGGGTGGCTTCTCAGGTGGGGTGCCTAACTGCTGGGGAGGAGCAGATATTGGAAAAATAAAACTAAGACGCTTTCTCAAATAATTCTTGAGAATTAATTTTTTTCTTTTTTTTTTTAGATTTAAAAAAAATTGGGCCTCCCCGGTGGCGCAGCGGTTGAGCGCTGGGTTGCGAAGCTGCCCGCGACCTCTGCGGTGCCGGTTCGATCCCCGGCTGCTCCCCGGCCACCTGAGGAGGGTCCCACATGGCGCGCAGACCTCTCCTGCCGCCCGCTGCTCCCCTCAGCAGTGTACTTCAGTCCTTCTGCCTGCTCTGCTCCCCACTCTGGCTCTGGTGAATTCTCTCACCCTCCCGCGCTTCTGACTGTACCCCGTGCATGTATAAACAAACAAATAAATAAATAAATAAAAAAACATGCCTCTAAATAAAAAAAAAATTAAAAAAAATAGATTTAAAAAAATTTATTTATACAGGAACTGGGGTACAGGTGAGAGGCGTGGGAGAGTGAGAGTATTCGCCAGAGACAGAGCGGGGAGCAGAACAGGCAGATGGACCTAAGACACTGCTGAGGGGAGCAGCAGAGAGACAGGAGAGGTCTGCCGCGCCATGTGGGTTGCTCCCTGGCCGGCCGGGGATCGAACAGGCCGGGAATCGAACTGGCTTCACAGCGCTGCGCTCAACACGCTTTGCCACCGGGGAGGCCTGGAATTAATTCTTAATTTATATGTTTTACTTGGGGAGGAAAAGGCATTTGTACCCATGAAACACAAGGCTGTACCTACCTTTAGCAGAGAACTGAATCCCCAGGGAGCGAGTCTCTTCATTCAGAGAAGGCCAGCTGGGGGGTGAGGGGGAGGCTGGGGAGCACTTCTGGGTGGTTAGTGTGAAACTTGAAGCCAAGTCTTGGGGAGCATAGATTCCTGTGTTGGGGGAACACCCTGTCAAATTTTGGCTTTGTTTTTTAATTGAGTAGGTATTTTCCATAAAACTCCTTGGCGGAAGCCGCCTGTTTTCTCCACGGAAAGGGCTAAGCATGGCTTGCTGAAGGCAGATCTTACTGTGTCCAGACCTGGACGACCACTTTGGCGTAGTTTTTCCCCTTTATTAAAAAAATAAGTTAGGACAGAAGAGGCTCCATTGAGTCTTTAGTTTGGTGCAAATGACATCGCCAGGTGACTGGATTTGGGGTCTGCTTTATTGTCTGGCTCTGTTTGCTGGGAAGGTGGGCCCGATTTTCATTTCTGTCTTCTGTACCATTTAAAGACTGTGACTCTTGTGAGAAGTAGTGTGTGGAAATCTAAACCTCATGCTGTGTTGCGAGTCATCCTCTCCTCTCCCTCCACCCAAGCAGTGACTATGCTGCCCCTTCAACCCGCCTCCCCTCCCTACCAAAAAACCAGCCCAGCCACCCTGACGATATCAACGGGCTGGTTGCTCTGACTGTCATAACGCCCGCAGGGCTGGAGATGGTGAATAGGCCGGTCTTGGTCAATTCTGTAAACTCCCAGCGGATGTTCTGGTTGTTATTGACAAAACTCTTTGCCAGAGTGAAAAGGCTGGTCACCCCTCCTCCTTTCTACTGTCTTCGCTGAGCTTTGCCTCCTAGGACAGCCTTCCGGAGTCCTGATGGGTTCGGAACCTTCTGTAGATTTCCTGTAGACCCACGTATTCTCGGCACCTGTGTGGGTGCCCAAGGCCCTGGCTAGGTCCTGCCTAGTCTCCAGGTCTGAGAATGGGTAGACGATTGTCTTCGGGGAGTGACTTCGTTCATGTCTTGCTTGGATGCTGAAGCTGGTTCAGTAACTTTCTGAGGTTCCCTATAGTCCTGTGATCTTCGGTGATTTGAAGTAAGCCATAAGTAAGGTTTCGTTTACACACCTGCCCGCTTGTTTCAACACAGCCAGTGCCTCACCTCAGTGTTCAGCAGGACCATCGCTCGCCTACGTTAGTTATGCAGCTCCCGTGGGTTTTGGCTAAACTCGAATTTCTGCTTTGTGCTCTCGGGCTTCAAGTTCTTCCTGGCGGATGAGTCTTTGGCCACCCTCTTTTCTTCTCTGTGTGGGTAGAGGGTTTGGTTTTGTTTCCATCTTTTTCCCCTTATCCAACCACCAAAATATTTCCCAACTATAATAAATGTGTTTTTATCAATGATCATAGAAAGTCCACTTTGTGTTTCCTTGGATGAACATTATCAGGATGCCGAGTCCTTAAAGGTAGGGGGCTCTGTGCTTGTAGACCCCGGGTGTGTCTTCGGGGTATTGCCCTCCAAACACAGAGGTACAGTCTTCCCCCCACAGCCAAGTTTCACTTGCCCTGGCTTTAGTTACCTGGTCGACCGAGGTCTGGAAATACTATGTACTCTAAGATGTTTGGAAAAACGCCACCCTCGCGGAGGCCAGTTGCAGGTATTGTGACACCCGCTCCATCTTATTATTGGTTATTGCCTCCCTGGGTTATTGTCACTCTCTCATGGTGCCTAAGGGCACATCACATCATCGTAGGTCATAGTCCACCTGGGGCTTAGAATCTATTCCCTGCTGATCGGGGGCTCCTGTATCTTGGGGTTCCCCCTGCAGCCAAAATGGCACCTTGCCCAGGGGCTTCTACGTCACGTGTTTGATCTCAGTCCTTCTGGGGACCTTTTACCTAACGCTTGGGACACCTAAGATTTTCTCTCTGGTTTTTAAACCAGTTAGCCAGAGGATGGTCATCAGAAGGCCATTGACGCCCGGGTGGCTCGGGAGCTGGTCTGTGAGCCGCTGTGCTTGCTGCCTGTCTCCTGAGCCCCACTGCCTGTGCCTTGGCTCGCTGCTTCCTGCCTGTGTCCTTTGTGGCTTCAGTGCAGGGGTGCACTTGCTGGGGGTTCGCTGGGATGGGGTTCTCATGTGTTTTTGCTCAGTAGAACACTTCTGAATGGTAATATTTACAGGCTCAGCTTACTGTCTCGTACGCTCATGCACGTGTGTCTAGTCTGT